AACATGAAGACAAATTAAAATATAATTCCTTCATGTCAATTACCCTCACTAGCAGCTCCATTTCCCTCAACAGTAGTTCCAAACATTCCCCTTAATAGCAGTTCCAAATAATGGAACATGCCAATCAGTCAACCATACAATTCCTTTATGCCATCTCTCAACATTTCCAAACAATGGAACATACAATAAAATGGAATCGAACAAGAACAACAGCCTTAACTGCTCCTTAAAGTTTACGACATACATAACATTATAAGGTGCATGCATAGCATTATAAGGTGCATTGCCATTTCCATACAAAAACCCAAATTATGCCTTAACAGCTCAAGTTGGGCTAGAGATCAACTGTAGAACAAATAAAAAAGAAAGAAAAAACTCGGGTAGAGCCATTTTCAGTGAGCATTTCAAAATACTTTAATAAGACATACTAAAAAAATGGCACATGCTCTATCAAAAGCCTGGTCAAACTCAATATATATGTTCAAACTCAATAACTCAATATATATGTTCAAACTCAATAACAGGAAACCAGCAGCATGAAACCAACAGCAGGAAACCAACAATAGGAAACCAACATCAGGAAACCAACAGCAGGAAACCAACAGCAGGAACTACTCCATGAACTCACATAAAGACCAATCATAACCACTACAAAGGAACAAAAATATTAAACATTTGGTGTGATATTTGCTATCTCCCAAATGGTTTCCCCCAATTCCATCATAAAAAAAAATAAATGACACAATGGTTGCTCTAAGTATTTAAGCCATCCTAAATTGAAAGACATAATATGTAATCAAACAAATGTTATGTTACAAAAATCTAACCACCAAGTATCAATCCACAGTTACAAAAAAAGCATTCCAAATCAGAAATTCATTCCTTTATTCTTCCAACACCAGCACATAAAAATAAAGGAAACATAAACATTCATCCAACAATCATACACCAATACCATATAGTCAATTCATCCAAGAAGCTTTGTTTATATAAATAACACATAATTCTAATGCATTTACATATCTGACACCTAAACATTCAACAAGGTAATAACCCCACAGAGAAGTAGCTAAGGAATGTCGATATGTACAAAAACAACAAGGTAATAACCCCACAGAGAAGTATAACAGTGTAGCTAAAGAAATGGCAACAGTGCACCCATAACCCCACCACAAAAAATGGAAATCATAAGAACATTACTGCAGCATTCAATCTGGTTGGCAAAGATTTCAACAACTTTCAACAAGGTCTCAAATGGTTTCCCCCAATTCCATCACCCAAAAGAATAAATGACACAATGATTGCTGTAATTATTTAAGTCATCCTAAAGTGCCAAATTTTTCTGAATACAAGTGCAAAGAAATAACTACTGCCATTTAAAAAAAAATTAGATAAAATACCCCATAAATTGCCATTTTAAGCTTCCTTGAAAATGCAGATGGAAGAGATATATTAATGGCTTCTTCTTCATCTGCTTATTCCACTATTTTATTTTCTATTCTACTACAAAAAACAAACAAAATTACACTAAACAAATGTTGTCATTTGTGTGAGTTCAAAAGAGCTAGGGAATCATGCACCAACAAATTTACACCAAAAATCTGAATTCATACCACTCCCAAATGGTTTCCTCCAATTCCATCATCAAAAAAATAAATGGCACAATGGTTGCTGTAATTATTTAAGCCATCCTAAAGTGCCAAATTTTTTTGAATACAGGATCAAACAATACAGTGCCAAATTGCTTCACCTCAGAAAAGATGAAATATACAGTGCCAAATTGCTAAGAGCATATATCACAATGCACCTTTTTTTTCTTTGTTTTCATATGACAATTTCACCATATGCATATATAGTTTCAAAAGCACCTGCAAATGAGAATTGAAGCCCAAGGAGAATACATGCAATCCATATTAGAGAGAGCATGTCAAACTCGAGCTGGGGAAGAAGGCTCCATCACTGCCACCGCAAGCTTCAAAGACCTCCAAAACCAAGCCTCCAGGAACCACCTCGGAGCCATGAATTTCACTTCCTTCCAAGACCTCCATTTATTCAACAATGAAAAAAATAGCTCGAAATGTCTCAAGACCACTTCTTCCCCATAAATGAATTTCTTTCTTTGGGAAAAAAGAGACCTACTAATCCTTTCTTTTGTTCAAATGGAAAGAGTCCAATGGTTTGGTATGATGAACTCAAAATACAAGAATTTGGAGCTCATGAAGAAAACTCTAAGATAAACAACAAACATACTTTGTTCCACCATGTGATTATTATGTATTAACATATCTAATACCTATATTAAAAAATTGAAATAAACCTTAATGTAGAAGCCACGACATATAAGCCAAGTCATATAGAAGCCACGATAGGTACACTTCCATTTTGAATTATCAGTCAAAGCAAGGAAATAAAGGCAATGCAGAAAAAACAATTGATAGCCTTCCAATACAAGCAAGGAGATAAAGGCAATGCAAGAAAAAAATTTGAATTATCAGTACAAGCGATGCATGAAGAATCTGAATTTGATACAGCATGGTGACATTCTCTAATCTTGCATTATGCATTTAGTAAATCTGCCATAAATTATTGGACTATAGAACTGAAAGGATATTCAGAGGGTACAAAAGAATTTGTTCATCATTACTGAAAGTGACATTGATATAAAGGAACACATTAATCAAATGAAATGTACTATACACAGCTTCTGAAATCTGCAACCTTGCTCCCTGTGTACAACATAACTTGCTGGTTGCTCCAAATTAATAGCTTTGGATAGAACCATACAAAGTAAAGCCTTTTTGGCATCCATATGAAGCAAGGTCCAAAATTGATTAATGGCAACAAAATGGAAATGGCAAACAAAGGTAAACTAGCAAGCCTAAAGATAATTCCAAAGAGTCACAAATTATTTAAACAATAGAAACAACTGACAAATTATGCTCATGAAAGATAAAAAGTCTCAAAATTTAAATACCATATTAATGAGGACATGAATTTAAGCTAAACATATGTGAAATGTCACCACCAAGATGTCATCTATAGCGTAGGTTTAATATGAAGAAAATAATTAAACATAATTGAAAGACATAATATGTAATCAAATCTAAATGCCTATGCTTATGTCATTTGCTATTTGCTCTCTCAAACCCGCCATCTCTGAAGCGCCTTCACCATCTATGATTTGTGACTCAGGTGAATCAATATCAATTTGTGGGATGGAACGTCTAACATGGTATTCAAATGCCTCGGTTGGTATTTGCAATGAATATTCTTCTATAACGACAAACTCTGCATCTGTCCTGGAATGATGTCGTCTAATGAAGTTGTGTAGTGCCATTGTTGCCACTACAATCTGGGATCACACTACGCAAGGATGAATGTCTTTTGTTAAAAATTTCTTTCTTTTCTCGTGCAAACCCGCTCGATCTCTCGAAATCAGGTATATGATATTTTGTATCTGGATAGGGCTTCAAATATCCCTTTTGCATAGGATACCCGGCATCTACTAAGTAGTACTTACCTGAGTAAAGGTTTCTTTCATTTAGAAATTTTAAAGTAATTAGGATGGTCAAAAGCTCAGAACGATTGTCATACCATGTGATGGATAAGGGAAACCATATTTTCTGTTGCTAGTAGCAAACTTGAAAACGCGGTCGTCGTGTACGCTACCTTCCCATCCAGCCATAACATATGTGAAAAACATATTGAAATCACAAACAACCATTATATTTTGTGTTGGTGATCCGCATTGTCCAATGTATGCAACTTTTTCTGTGCCAGAAAGACGTGCCTCGACATGTGTTCCGTCAATAGCTCCGATTCAATCCTGGTATGAACGAATTAATTAATAATAAAATCAAATGTGTGAAATTTTATTAACTAACATTTAAATATGGGAAGCACCTTAAAGAACGACATATAACGAGGGTCATTCGCAATATGTGTGGGAATGGACTGGAATGTTGGGTCCTCTGGTTTGACTATTTGACGAGCCAGACTCACCATTCCATTCAACCCAACTGAGAAATATCTACTTATGCTTTTGGAAGAATGTTGAAACCGTTCCATAGCTCCTTTCATTGATTCATTTTGGGCCAAAATGTAGAGTGATATTTCCAACACCTCTCTAAATGTTGTTCTTGATGATCCTTGAAGTCCGTGGAGGGTCTGAAGTTCATTTAGGAGGTCAAGGATGAGATCAAGAAAAATGGTTTTTGTCATACGAAACATATTTGCAACACGTATCGGGTGCCCATGTAATAACTCTCCGATCCATTTATCTCCAATATTGCTGGACTTCATGCATGGGTTTCAATCAGCTGGACGTCATGCATGGATTTCGATCTACATATGCGTTGTAGTAATGGTATAACAACGTAAGGGTGAGAGTAACAATGCGAATTTGATTAATTTGTCCTTCCTCCATAATACAAAATCTGGAAGGAATGTAGAATTTTAAACCAGATAGCAAATAGTGATGTAATATCAGAAAACATATAAGAAAATGAGAACTATACAAAGAGTACGTGCTTGTAAATTTGACTGCATGCAATAGAAATGTGAAGAAAGTTACATACATGCGGCACATTTCATTGATGTTTGCATATCTAAACATCAAAGTTCGATATGTAGCTAACATATTCAAGGATGAAAGAAATACAATACACATAACGAGTTCATCACATAAATAGAAAATAAGACAGAAAGAGTCCATCAAACAAATAGTCAATGAAGTTACATAAATAGCATTCAATCTTTCATAAAAGAGCGCAAGGAAGACAACGAAATTCTAGCTCCAAAGTCTGAAAGAACTGCCTCCGGGTAGAGTTCCCTAGCAACTTGACATACTTAACATACATATCCTGGTCTTCCTTAATACCAGGATATGTGTTAAGGATCTTAACACACTCATGGATTGTGCTGTCCTTCACAGTTTTGGAATTACTTTTGAAAATTTCAATCAATGTCTCAAAAGAACCTCTAACAAATGCAAAGCCTTTTTAATTTTTCGTAGGTCGTGGGCGCTTTGTTCCATCAGTGGATTGGATATCCGAGTGGATTTGGATGGGACCTTCTCCTGAATCACCTATATGCTCGGTCTCTATATCCTTTGCTAGGTTTGCAACACCCTGCTCATTAGGGGTGAAAAAATGAGTTCCTGTTACAACACCAGTAAACATGCCATCCAACTTCTCCTTCAAAGCTGGTTCAATTCCAGTAAATTTGAATTTTTTTGCCGCTGGCACTACCTGTAATCACAAAAAAAATTCTAATCAATATTCCTAAAATATGTCTCTAAAATTTAGTTGAAATAGTAATATTATTACCGCTAACTTTTCTGCCCACCATTTTTCAGGTGCATCAATTGTCCGCTTTACTAGATCCCATCCCAATCCAGTTGATCTCCTTTTAAGCTCTTTCCAATGTTTCCAGTCCTTCTTTAATTGATCCCATTTGTTCTTTAGTTTCATCCTAT